ACAGCATGTATGCAAGCTGTGTTTAGAACCATGTTTTCTGCCATTAAACAGCACATATAGCTACTTTTATTTCCTATTTCTCTGCACATTTATAGCAGGGATATGTGTTTTGATCCATATATCTTTGTGAGGTTACCGTGAATGAGTGTGTGCTTTGAGCCAGCATGAATAGCTCTTATTAAAAATCCCATCCACTAGTGACTTGGGCAGGTCAAATTTGTTTTGAGCAAGGCTTGTGAATAGCCAAGTCCTCAGCCTGTTGGGCAGATACATTCTGAGGTGTGGCAATTGGCAGGTTTTTCTGAGAACAGACTGTTTCGAATACTCTCTGAAACTGGGAGAGAAAATGGAATCTATTAAAATGGATGGGCTTAAAAAGCAGTGCCATAAATAGCTGTGTTGTCCAGCTGTTGTTTGAGTAATTTCTCTGTAATTTTATATGGGTATTTTGTGTATTTTGAAAAGCTGACACAAGCAAAGACAAAATATCCAGTCTGCAAGATGTGGTTCAGGGAATGGTGAGCACACTTTACAGCTTTCCTGTTTTTTCTCCTGTGGTGTATAACACTGTCACGAACGGTTTATGGATTATGAAAATGAAATTCATCTGAAATTAGGTCCTTTTGAAAAAGAATGCAGTATAATGTTTGATCAAAATGTGTTCACGTTGATGTTGAAGGGCCAACGTAACTTTGGTGGAGTGGAAAAGAATGAAATTTAAAAATAAAGAACCAGGATGAACATGGAAAAGAGAGTAACAGAGAATGCAAGGTCATCAAGAGGCAAAAACAAGGGAGCATATAATATTAGAGTTTGAAGGGTCCTCTTAAAGCCATTTAGTCCAATCCCCTGCTCAATGCAGGACTCCATGTTAAAGCATCCCTGACCAAAGCCTCTCCTATTTCTGAATGCATCCAGTGTGGGGGAACCTGTGACCTCTGCAGGTAATTGGTCCCGTTGCCATACTGCTCTAACAGTCGCAAAGTTTTTCTTGATGTCTACCCAGAATCTGACTTCCTGTAACTTAACCAAGGGAATCAGTGTCCTGTACTCTGAGATGATTGAGAGGATGCTCCACTGTGTGACAGCCTTTCAAGTTTTTGAAAATTGCTATTGTATCTCCTCTCAGTCTTCTCTTATCAAGCCTAAATATGCCCAGTTCTTTCAACCCCTCCTCTTGGCCTTTGTTTCTAGTCCCCTGATCATCTTTGTTGTCTTCCTCTGAACTTTTTCCAGTTTGGCTGTGTCATTTTTGAAGTGTGGTGCCCAGAACTGGATACAATACTCAAGATGGGGCCTGCCAAGTAGAGGAGAACTAGTATTTCACATGATTTGGAAGCTGTATTCCTATTAATGCAGTCCAAAATGGAATTTGCTTTTTTTTTTTTTTGCATCACATTGTTGACTCCTATTCAACTTGTGAATAGAAGCTAGTAGCTGCCTAACCTGGTCTGGCTTTTTAGCATTATTGTGCAAAAGGCTAGTTTAATTAGACACATATATCTTCTTGCTGCTGCTGCTGGTTGCAAGTCATGTATATATCAATATCTAGTTTATATCTAAGCTAGTTTATTTAGAAATTAATTTATTTCTCTGTGGTTACTTATGGTATCCACGTAATCTTCAAAGCATATTTACCACTGGAAAAAAATGATCTCCCTCTTTCTTTCCCTATATATACCTCGTCATGACTGGCAAAGATAAAGATGACTGGCAAAGATAAAGATGACTGGCAAAGACCAAAGATAAATTTGGCCCCTTTGCTCCTGAACTCTACTTAGCAGGCCTCCAGAGGCTCTTCACAGATGTTTCTGTTTTGCAAGCCAGTGGGAACCTCATGAGCAGAATTTCCTTGCCTTCTAGCAGCAAACGTCAGTCTGGCATGAGTGCTCATCTGGCGAAAGGTTTCTGGAGTTGTGAGTTTAAGTTCTGCTGGGTCAAGCAGCTCAGTGGATAATTTGCTGACACACTGCTGTGCCAAAGTCCCATTATACAGCACTGTGTGAGAACTTCATTTTCTCCTTTGAATCCAAACAAAATTAGCCGCTGGGTACAGCTCTCTGAGTGTGTGCGTGCACATGCTTGCGTGTGCGCGCAGACCTTTATTTTTATTTTCTTAGCAGGGCTGAGTCTAGCATGATTTTTGCCCTGGGCAAGGATACAAATACACATGCCACTCTGCCAGTAATGACTCACCCACAAACTGTTTCACATAACTTGACACAGTGCAGACATGCTACTTATTATTAGCAAACTGCCTGTCATTATGAAAGGCAGGGTGTGTGTGGAGAGGGAGTTTGCATTTTGCACTCCCAGCTGCCAGGGATTCCCTGCCAATGGAGGCTGGGCCACCATGTGCGAGGAGTGGTGAGCCAAGCTTTGCTCCTACTGCAGTTTAGGGGTCAAGGCTATTCTTCTCTCACTCCTTCCAAGCAAACCAGGACAAACGCTTTCTAACAAAATTCTGCATTAGGCTGCCTTTATGGTACAAAAGAAAAATATTGCAGATGTCAGTGACAAGAAGATTTCGAATACTAACCAATTCAGGAAATCTGGCTTGATGACAATACATTCATTCCGAACTGAATACCTCATCTTCCTTCCAGACTGAAAAGGCCAAACCACACCTTCAAGGCGAGTCCTCCTGTTTCAGGGCAGATCCTTGGAGCATCTCAACTGGTCCGCCTTCTTAACATGATGTCATTGACTCAGATAATGTTGAGTCTGTCCAATAGTATGCTCACTACATTTTCCTACAGAACTTGAAAATCTCTGATTTTCAGTGACTGCCTGCCTCATCTCTGGGTCCATTGGCCTAGACATTTCAGCTGTGCATTCAGGCTCACCTCTTTATCTGACTCGAAATCTGCTTCCACAGCCTTTGAAGTCTCTTTTATAAGAGGAGTGGGCCCACTCCCTGCATTAGGTCCAAGTGCATTGATTTGTTTTTCTCCATAGATATGAATGGTAGCCATGGACATATGGAAGGAAAGGATAGCATAGCAGCTGAGGACTATGTTACTTTAGAGACTTTAAAGTCTGGAATGAGAGGCAGTTTTCGTTTACTTTCTCATCCAGATTGCAACCTGCTTAGCCCCTGCATTTTGCTTCTAAGGATATTCCTAGGTGGATGGTTCCAAGAATTACCAGTGATGTGCCATTGTGCTGCTATTCAACCTTTTCCTTCTAAATGGATTTCTGTGTGTGTGTGATAGTAAAAGAAGTGGCGAAAGAACATGGGAGATGTATATGCATAACATGACACCATCTTGTTCCCTGTAACATTCCATGAATGTCAGGTAGAGGGATTGTATACTGAAAGCCTCGTGTCAAGGTACTCAGTCACTTCAGACTTACCTTGGAACATGGCAAAAACTGTGTGTACATGTGTGCATGTGTGTGAAGGAGCAAGTGAGGTGCTAATACATGTTGAAGAAGTCTGTTTTAAGGCTAGAACCAGCCTTCATCCTTTGACAGCCATTTCTTACACCAGAAGTTACATCCTTATCTAGGCTACCCGGGAGTTACTTAATGTAAGCCTTGTGACATAATACAATATTTTCTTCAGACCACAGAATGGCTTGAGTGCATCAGCTGACTAAAAAGTGTTTTGAAAAACTTGAATCTTGCTTGGGCTCTGTAAATTTCCCACCCTACCCCCTTTGCATAGTTATTACTTTGCATGTATTGTTGCCCTGAATAATTATTTATGTTTTCTAGTATAATTTTCCCAATTCCTGTATAGTGATCATGTTCTTTACAATGTATTTTACAATATCCCATAAGCACTACATAATTTGGCACAGTGGAACAGCTGTTCATTTGTGAATAATGCTGAGAAATATGATAGCAGGACTTTCATGGAAGCAAGACTCCCTGGTTCTTTGCATTCCATTACAGGACTCCTTGGAGGTGAATATGGCATTTGTTTTGGCAGTTTTGGGGGGGAGAGGGTCAGGGTAGTGCTTTGCAACACTTTTCCTGTCTGTAAATGGGAGGTGAACAGTGTTTCAGCTGTGCCTTAAATGTCCTTAATATAGGTATTTTATTGTGCTGGTGTTGAACACTCTTAGTGCTATCACTGTTTTTTGCTTTTTTGTTATGATCATGATTTGAAGGAGGGGACTGTGGAATGTGGACCATTTCCAGGCATTGAAATGAGAGAAGCAGAGATGCTTATCTCAAGGCCAGACTCCCAGGTGTGCAGGCAGTCTCTGAGAATAACCAAAATGTACAGCTAGTGGGAGAGGGCTTGGAACAGGTGAGTTTCTCAGAAACAGATAAAGCGGCTATGGCTCACAACCCCATGACACAACGTCAGCACAGCAGAAGAGGGCTACCCAGTTAGAGGATCAGTATGTAGGGAGGAGTGTGCTCATTTACAGAAGCTCCTTCCCAAAAAGATAGAGGCCCAAACATACTGATAAGGAGACTTCCTAGATGTAAATACTAGATTGGGTTCAACAAACCGTTCTCTGCATGCTCAGAGATTCAGTCTGGGTGATTATTCTTCTGGGAAATGCTTTAGTCAGTAAAGAACACTTTGCAAGAAAGGTTCTTGGCTTTGAATATGCAAAGGGAGGAAAGCTAGGTTGCAACACACACTTTCCCTCTTCTTCAGTCTACCTGCTGAGCTTCTCCAAACCTTTGATGCTGGATGGAGGCAATTGTGCTGTATAAGCAGTGGCCTCCTGGTGTTGTATCAGCCTTTTTAGGAAGGGATTTCTAAGCCTTTCTTTCCTTCTTTGACACTTATCCAGATATATAAGGAAAGAGATGGATTGTAGAATCTGTCTTCTTCCCAACCCTGGGTGTCAAGCAAAAACAATCTCTTCTTCCCTTCTTTGCAGCTGTACCACATGATGTAACATTTCAGCATTCATCTGCTGTGAAGGTGCAATAGAGTGAATATATGGATCAGCGTAAATCCACAGCGGATATTCTAGAGATGAATGTGGTTTTATTTTCTCTTGTGGACTCACTTACTTTTTCCTCATTAGATCCCAAAACTGCTGAAACAGAAGATGAAATTTCTGCAGAATGGGAGATTAAAACAATCACAAGTGCTCTGAAAACATACTTGAGGTGAGTAAAGAATTCTGTTCTACATGCATAATTTGTTTCATAATTTATTATTATAAATAAAATAATGTAAATGATAAATTTATTATTTAATAATAATACTAGTACTTTGTTTTGCTGAGCTTTCTATTGCCACTTTTTAATTAATGGAGACCTTAGGTTCTGCTCAGAGCTTACTTTCCTGGCTCTGTTTTTCTATACTTGTACCATGATGTTAGGGTAGAGCAGAATCATGGGATAGCCACTTCTATGGTTCCATAATAATGCTAGAGACCTTATACTGAAGCAAATCATTGATCCATCACACTCAATATTGTCTACACTGTTTGGCCACTGTCCAATGTTTCAGGCTAGAGTAGGAATGTGCTGGGAAAATACAGGTCAATTGAGCTTAAGACATTTCCTGTCCAGTTCTGATTGGATGATTTGTGCAAATTAGTTGGATTTGTACAAATCAGATATGGAAAACAACTTCCTTCTAGTGCGATTTGTGCAAATCATACTACTTTTCCTCAAGTTTTTTTTAATAAGTAAATTGTAGCCCGTTTTAGAAACAGACAACATAGTAGATCAGTGCCAGTCTGGCCAACTGGAAACCATTGGATTTTCATCACCAGTCCCTGTCAGACTTCTCACGCAACTCAGTGCAGGAGTGTTTCCTAGCTCTTCCTAGATATGTCTAGTACGGGGATCTTCTGCTTGCTACATATTGCAAACATTAAGTTACAATGAGTTTTCAAGCAATTCCTCCAGCCACCAGTTCTCCCCTGCAATGTAGCTTGTTGTCTACTTAGTGATATTTTTTCTTACAAGTCTGACTAAAAGGCCAGATGAAGCCTGACTGGAAGAGCTATCTCTCTATCTATCTGTGAGAAAGAGCATTTCTCAGGGAGAGTTTTAAGGATTGGATGGTTAAGCACCCCCCACCTGTTTTGATTCTGTCCTGAAATGCCTTTCTGGTTCCTGAAGTGACATTGACTGGCAGACGTGTGTTCTGGTGGTCTCTAGTACAGCAGGAACTCGTATGCTTAATAATTGCTTTCAGTGTCCATTGTAGGCCTAATTTTTTAAAAGCCACTGCAGTATGTCTCAGTGCATCTTTACAGGTTCTGTCACCATTTAAGCTGTACCAACTGCCAAGTCACTCCACGTTTTCTAGCAGTCCATTCTGTAGTACATTGTGATGCTTTACTGTCAGAAAGTGACTTTTCCTCAACTCTTATTTTTCATGGTTTCCCAGCAGACAAAGACCTTGCTTGACATTTCAGGATGGAGCTGCATTTTATATGACACAAGCAGTGTTGTTCTAAAACGTGTTAAGCTTGCAGCCAAGCAGGAATGGCTAATGTCATTCAGTGGAGCTGTAGTCCAGGAAATTCAGGCACTACAGAGTTATGCCAGATGCGCACTATTTCTTTTGGCACTTCCTCAAAACAGTGAAATTCATTACTATTAATCATGCAGCAATAAAGATAATGCAAGGATTTATTTGGCGGTAGCTCATAAACCGCAAGCATGATGAGGGATACCCAATCCCAGCTTCAGCATCTATCAGTCTTTCATTTTCACTCCCTCCATGTATTGACAGGACTTTCTAGAGCTAATTTAACTATCCAAAGCAGTTTAGGAGACAATCTTAATCCAGACTGGTAGCAAACACTGCTAACAACAGCTGTTTTTGAAGTGTCAGGGGCTGGGAGAAAGATTTTGAGACTCAAAGGATTCAGATCCAGACTCCATCATGGTCCCAGTCAGTGTTATGGTGTCTTCTGAGCTGACTCCAATAGCTTAGCTTATTCTACATTTTCTGATCCAGCCTAAGGAGAAATGGAGCAAAGAACAAACTGTTATAACTGCTAACCCTTATCATGCCTTGGCTGCTGCTTTCCTGAAACAAATAAGAACCAGGCAGTAAATTAGACTTGGTGAGATAAGAAAGAGAAGGGCAGAGTTATTAATTCTTGCATCTACCTAGGAAAATTATAATATGAAGCTGAGCCACAAATGATCATTCACACATTCCAGTTCCATTCCCATGTGTAGGTTTCCCCCCCCCTGTATTTGGACACCATTTTTCTGTACTCCCAAAGAAATTGGATCTATTCAGCTAGCCAAAGACTCTATGGCTGCTGCTGCTGCTTCTGTGCTCCTCGTCTTCTTGGTATAAATAACTAGGAAAAAGGAAGGAAAACCAAGGATGCTTCCAGATGAGGCTTTTGTCTTATGTTTGACATGGGTCATTCATGAAATTTTATGGGTGAGAGTCTTCCACTCAGAATCCTCCTGTTTTCTCACCACTTCTCCCACCTAGTTTCTTACTGCAGAAAATCTGTCAAGAAAACCCAAAATAGCTGCACAGCACCTTCTAACTAGTGCTAGGCGTACTCTGTCCAGACATATTCCTGTATTCTCCTTATTCAGAAACTTCCTTGTACTGCTTATTGTTAAAGGATTTCAACCTTTGTTATAGGAAAGCATGAAAACACATTGCTGCAGTTTATTTTGTGGTATTTTCTTCAAAGAAAGCAAAATGGTATTATAGCTTGTAAAGAAACTGACTTTGCATTCACCTGAAATTTGGTTTGTTGTGTACATCAGATCTGCTACTGCCTGCTCTTTTGTTCAGTATTGGCCTATCCTGTACTTGGTTTGCCTGTTGCTTACCAATCAAAATGTAAAGAGCCGTATTGGATGAAAATTGTAATACTTTGTGGGGGTGTTCTTTCAGGATTATTCTATTTTTCTCCTTTTTGCAGTATCTGCACTATGTGTATCAAAACATTTAGCCCTTTAATGCTGAAATGTTGCTCAGCTCCATGAATGAAAGGAATTAAATTCCACACCCCCTTCAGATCCCTGCAATGTAGCAACTTTTCTTGTTGAATACAGCTAGCTAGTTGGAGATGTAATTTAGCTGTGCCGTATATGATTAAGAATAGATTTATGGTAATGGCATGCTCCCAACTGTATATCAGCCATTCTGTTGTGTATTTTCTTGCTCTGATTTGCTTTGCTCCATATCTCAGAATGCTTCCTGGGCCACTCATGATGTATCAGTTTCAAAGAAGCTTCATCAAAGCAGCAAGTAAGTAATTTGTCACAACCTCCTGAAGGAGACAAAATCTTTTGCAGATGACAGAATGTTACATTTAGCTTCTTACTTAACATTCAGGATTGAGGCCCAACCAGTCATTTAACTTTCTCTCTCACTTCATGTAAAGCTAGGTTGCTATAAGTGCCATAATGCACAAATAAAAATGAGAATTGTGAACACAATATAGTGACCTGGTTTGCCTGATACAACAATCCATTGTGGGTAACAAACATAAAAGCTACATGGAGGTGATAAAGATAATCATTTAGAATGGATTAAGAATCAGCAGGCCTTCACTTAAAATGCCTTCACTAAAATATGGACTAGTTCGTGTTTTAGAAATGAATGAATAAATAAATAAATAGTGACAGTTCTATCCCATCCTATACAGATGTCTCAGGACAGCAATACAGAAGAGTATAGTGGCAAGCATACAAAAATATAATATAAATATCCAATATTAAAAATCATAGTTAATCCTTAACATCCATAAAAATTAAAATATTTTGGCTTTATATGTCACCATTAGCACCTTGCATTGGGCCTGGACTTCAGTTGGTAGCCACTGCAGACGATACAGGAGTGCTGTTATATGAGCATATCTACCGGTCCCCATCAGAACCTGGCTGCCTTGCTTTGGAGCAACTGAAGTATCTGGACTATCTTCAGGAGCAGTTCCACATAGAGGACATTACAACAGTCCTTTTGGGAGGTTACCAGAGCATGGGTCACTGTTGCTAGGTTCTGCCCACCCAAGTAAGGACATGGTTGATGGACCAACCCAAGCTGGTGAAAGTGCTCCTTCCTTATTTGGAGAGGAATGGAAGATGATATTATGGAGACCCAGTGTGATGTAGTGGTTAAGAGTGCTAGACTGGGACTCTTAACCACTAGGTTCTAGCCCCCACTTAGCCATAGAGGCCAGTGACTCTCAGCTGACACAATCTCACAATCCCCTGTTATTGTGGGGAAAAAGTAGAAAGGAGGAGAATTTTGTAAGCTGCTATGGGTCCTTTCAAGAGAATGGAAGGAGGGATGGCAAATGCAATGTAATAATAATAATAGTCACAGTGGGTTGTTGCATCATCTGAACCTTAGACAACTCCCTGCAGACTGTTTATTTTTCAGGAATAAAGCACAGTAAGAACCCATGTCTTGCTCTAGAGGTGGTTGTGTCATCTTGAATCCAGGAAATGGGATTTCAGGAATCCAGGAAATGTGGCAAGACACCTGGGAAGAGCAGCAAGCCCGTTGCCCAATCATGTCTGTACTATCACCAGTGACTCCCTGTAATCAATGCCCAAATGGCACTTTGTGACCCTTCACTACTTCGTGACCCTTTTTCTTGTTTTTTTTCCCCAGTCCCAGGGAATTGTGCAATCGTTTGTACCTTTTAAAAGTTGCTGTTATGATTCTTATTATTGATCCTTCACTTGTGGTCTTTTACATTATTGGTCTTTCAGCATTCTTATAGTTTTTCAGTACATGTAGTTTTGCTAAGACAATTTCCTTGTATTTTTCTGCTGTCAAAACGGGTGGCAAAGTAGAGCAGGTAACAAATTGACAAGGCAAGATTACATATAGTCTAAACAGCACACAGTAAGCGGGGACCAGTTGCCAAGTTATCAGCTGAAACCCACTACCAAAGTGAGTAAAAGGCAGCAAAATATGGGGCAGCAAAAAGGGAAGAGGATATTAGCGCTCCCATTTTATGTGGCTCCTTTTCCAGGCATGCATTGCAGGTGCTCAGATTTCTCCTCTGTTTACTTCCCAGTCCTTAAATTGGTGCAAAATTTCCCTCCATTTGATCCTAGCCATGTGTGTATGTGTTTATTAGTACTCAAAAGGAAACTTAAAAATGCAGGGACAGGGAAGACAACTATTTGACTTTACTGGAATAGCTGGTACTCGGGGAAGTGTTGAAAACACTGAGTGCTAAAAATCAAATGGATTGCATATCTAAATGAGAGATATCGTTCACTTGCTTCTTCTTTTGCCTCATTTCTCCCCTTTACCCATTCATTTTAGTTGCAGACTTGGCAATTGGTCCCTGGCAACCGTGCACAAATTAGCCTATATGCCATCTATCTACTCCATTGCACTCTTATTAAACATTGGAAACACACAAGGAAATTTGCTAGGCAAGATTACACTTATTAGACACCTGCAAGAGCACACTTGCAGAAGGCCAACTACTCTCTGCCCCCTACTTTCTCCCTCTGTAAATTACAAAAAGGGTTGCATAATTTTCGTAGACCAAGCACCCACCCTCCCCTTATTCTGTCTTTTTTTTTGAGACTCCAAAAAGCAAGCAAACAAACAGTGGCAAACGGAAAGGGGTAGAATGTGAAGTGGGAGGACAAGGCAAGAACACCAGGAAATATGGTGTTATATATCCAGGAGGAAGACTAAGGCATAAGGGGAGGGAGGATAAGGGACCAAGTGTGGGATAGTGGTTAAAGTGTTGGACTTGGATTCAGGAGATCCAGTTCTATGACCCACTCAGTCATGAAGCTCAGTGAATAACTTTGAGCCAGGTCAGACACTCAGCTCTACCTACCTCACAGGGTTGTTGTGAGGATAAAATGGAGCTGAAATTATGTAAGCAGCCTTGTGTTCATTGCAGAAAAGTAAGGATACAAATATAATAACGTACAATAAGTCAGATCATATTTTGGAGTACCGTGGTTTATTCGGTGAACAAGCAGCCTGTGGTGCTTTACTTGCAGCATGGTGTGCAAACCTGCCTGGTATTTTCCAAGCTTTTCTGTATGCATGTGTGTGAGAGAATGATGCATATACATACAGAATGAAAATACTGCATTCCTTATGCCTTTGGATTTTTCAAATGGCTACCATATGATTGATTTCAGTAAGCTGTGTTAGTATTATTTTACATGTATTGTTAATAAAGAAAATAGGAAAGGTCTGCTGGATCAAACCAAAGGCATTCTGTTCTCAGGGAGGCCAACCAGTTCCCCTGATGGGAAGCATCAAGCAGGACAGTAATGCAACAGCACGCTTTCTCCTGCTTATGTTTCCCAGCAGCTGGTGTTCAAAAGCATATTGCTTCTGAAACTGGAGGCTGTGGACAGCCATCATGAACAGTAGCCATTGATAACTGTATACTCGGTCAATTTGGCTAATACCCCTTTAAAGTGATGCATATGCACTGATGGTATTTGGTGTTTTTAATATTGTATTTTCATTATGTTAACCACCTGGCCATTGATTATTGATAGCGTTCTTTGCATCTTGGCTAGGATATGGGCACATTCTGTTATATTAGTAAGTATATAATATAGATATGCACATTAGGCACAAACTGTTTCGATTGCAGAAATGTCAGGGACATCACAAGCATTCAAGTAAGGATGTTTGAAAAGTGAATGCCTTGTTTTAATGCTTACAAACAGTCACACTGAACAGGGCAAAGAAGATCCTACTCACCTCAAGGGTCTAGCTAGCCATTTAGCTTGGGCAGAACACAGGTGATGGGGTTCTCTGACGTCCCAGTAGCGCCTCCGTCTCTATTGGGAATACATATCCTGCCTGACAGAAATGACTTCTCTGCAGCTGCTACCTTTCCCTGGCCCGAATATAATCGTTCAGTCAGAGGAAGTGGAGGTGAATGTTTTAAGCTTTCTGCAGGCATTTGCAACTGTGCAGCCCTTGAATGTTGGATTGCCTGGGCATCCTTGCTGTCTCTTCAAAACTGATTCAGACATGTGGGTACTTCAGTGCATTGTATGTGACTAAACACAGTATTTTTATGGGCTTCCAGAAATGCTATATAGAATCAAGAGTTTTCATAGACATTGCATTAAACATATGCTGATTAGATTTCTTGGTTTTTATATCCTTAAATTCTTTTTAAAGTGCATGTTACACCAATGACATTAAAAGAAGTCCAGGGAGTTAGGTCTGTACTCTGTAGTTGGTGACTGATGTATACAGCCAAACTTACTTTGAAAAATACCTTGCCTTATTGCAGAACTGGAGAATCAAGAATCCAGAATCGCAGAGATACACAGCTTAGTACACAGACTCCCTGAGAAAAACAGACAGATGCTGCATTTGCTTATGAATCACTTGGCAAAGTAAGTTTACTGGCTTTAATAAATACTTGGCTTTTTGTTTGCTTGTCTTCAAAGTGGAAAAAAGGAGTTACCATCTGAGAGTATGGACACGTCTCCTGCCCCATGCATCTAGTTTAAAACATGAATTAGTGGTTGTATCATTTTTTGATCCTGTTTTGAGTGCATGTGCACCATGACAATAATGCCCTTACTGGTATGCGCTATGCTTATATTAAATCATGTGGCTACCATAAAAGATACACATGTCCAGTTTCTGGGCCACTCCCTGGAAAACAACTGAGAGAGACCTCTGTCAGTAGTAAATGTAGAAACTCCACCTGATACCTACTCAGCCTTTTCAGTTTCCACACTTGGTATTTGTGGTATTGGGCAGTTATTTTGTGACTGGAGAACATTAGTTAAAGCATCTGTTCCTTGGTTTGGACTATGCTGTTCTTACAAGAAAATTAAGATATTCAGGAAGAAGGTTAAAAATGAGGAAGACAGCCATGAGTTCATGCACTGCCATGAAGTGTGAAAAATCAAGACATAGCTGTTGTTTCATATGTAATACAATTGCAAAGCACAACATATTTCTTTGATACTTATTTGACATTTAGAAGTAACAGACCTCCTGCTTTAGAAGATCATTGGGGGGAAAAAGATAGTGAAAGTGGTCATGGGGAAATGGCTTTCTTTTCATTCTTTCAAGGGAGCAAACAAAACATTATGCCATAGATAAGGGAGGATGCTCTGGTTTGGATTATTCATTTTTGCCATCCTGTGCTGATTCCCTTACGCAGATTTCTGCCTAAAGCTACTGTTATCTGTGCAGGAAAAAATGTACAGCCATCCACATAGACCATGTTTGCATGTAACAACAATTTGGAGTGCAGGTTGAATATGCATTGACATTGAATTGTGAATTTTGGTGAATTTGGGGTTGCCATTATGTGAATCCTGCACTATAGCTTAGCTGTGGATTGTTAACCATAAACAACAGAAATGAAATTCAACAGGGACAAATGCCAAGCTCTGCACCTAGAAAAAAATAAACTAAGGAGGAAGGACAGAATCTCTTCTCAGTTATCCCAGAGTGCAGGACACAGAATAATGAGCTCAAATCACAGGAAGCCAGATTCTGGCTAGATGTCAGGAAACATTTACTGACTGTTACAGCAGTATGACAGTGGATCCAATTACCTGGGGAGGTTGTGGGCTCCATCACACTGGAGGCATTCAAGATGCAACTGGACTGCCATCTGAAAGAGAGTTTAACTTGGAGACCTGTACTGAGCAGCAGATTGGACCGAATGGCCCCTTCCGATTCTACTGTTCAATGATTCTTTGAACAACCCAGAGTTCACAGCCCAAGAGTAAACCATGGGCTCTCTTCTTAGGCTGTTTGTGATTTACTCCCTATAGTTAAATCATAGTGCAGAGTTCAAATGTAACAGCAACCCATGATTCAACAACAGCCCATACTCAAACCATATTCTGGGTTGTTACATGAGAACCAGGCTGCTGTATCTCTTTGTTTTCCTTTGTACATCTAATAGCAGCTCTTACAATTGATCTGTCTTGGGAACTCTGTGAGGGAATGTATTTAAACACCATGGTCTTTTTGTTGCACTCCTGATTCAAATCATAGTCACTGTATGGGTAGATTTAGCCCACCCACCCCATGCTTCCAAGATGTCAACATGGGGTGGGTGAGCTAAAACTGCCCATCTGTGCACCTCTGATATTGGTTCTAGTTTGCCTGTCTTATGTGCCTTTAAAAATTTGAATAGTACCATCATCTAAGCATAGTGCAGAGCACATTTTTGTTAAATGGGAAATCCACACCAAACTGTTAGAAAATTCATGAACATTTTCATGACATTCCATAATTTTACTCTTCCATAGCATTTTTAGTACAGTTAGAGATAATGTATCTGTGGTGAATAAAATTGATTTCAATGGGCATAGCAGGTATAGCGGGAGTGCCAGTAGCAATTGCCTGAAAAGGAATCTAATTTATGCTTCGTTTTTGTTTACAGCAACCCCCATTACACACAACTGTTCCAAATCCCACATTTTTAAACCATTCATTTGAATCATTTATTTTCACATTCATGAAAATTTGTCTGTGCCATTGGGCTGGTAGACATGTGGGATATAGTGGTAAAACAGATCTACATGACTCATGGAAATTACTTCCCCTACTGCAACTGCCAAAACACTCCTTTGCTTAGCATTGGAAGGGAAAAACATCTGGAATGACTAAGCAGCTTCATGTGTCGGTTATAGGAGTTAGTAGGCTGTGACTTGCCACCCCCCTCTCCGTATCAGAGGACTGTGTATACAGGAATAACAGAGAGGGCTTTGGAAAATGCTGGAATGGGTTAGGCTATAAATACCATTCTGGAACAGCACACTGATAGCAATATAAAAGCGGGGGAAAGCAAACACATTTTGAAATGTGCTTTAAAAAGACAGAGTCCAGATGCTCTGTTTTGACTTGCTTTTATATATCTTTCATGCAATCAAGAGCATGCTTTTAAAAACAGAAAGTTGGGTTAGAACTTTGTAGGGGGGAAATCATAGATGTTGCAAGCTTGGGGTTTAAAAAAGTGCTTTCAAATAATTCTAGCAGTGGAATCCTTTTTTCATGGAGTGCTATGATGATAAATTCACTTGAAAAAAGATAGTTCAAAAGCAAGAGCTTTATTTTGCATACCAAGCAGGATGAGTGTGGATAACTACTTCAAGATTTGTGTTCTTCTAGCAAGGCATCACTGATAAGCAGTTTAAGAGGAAACTTGGAATTACATTTTGAAAAAGGTGTGAGTTTGTGGACGCTGGCGCAGCTCCAGCAGGATCTTGGAGTCAATGTCCAGGGTCTCGCAGTCCATTATACCCCCACCCATCCTACTCCACTCCAAATGATTACAGGTACATGTGTTAGAAGCAGTGACAATCAGGCTTGATGTCAGCACTTGGACACATGGGCATACTAGGACTCCTGGGACTGATGCCAGTTGTCGCAGCATTCATTTTATTTAAAAAAAAGCAGTTTGGGGTAGCCACCTGAGTGTGTACATGCTTGCAGAACCTCATCTTATTACTTTTACTTTAAAGATATATCATCCTTTCCCCACATCAATATGGTGCTTATTTCCAACAGGATATGTTTAGTATGCTGAGGAATAGTTGTAACTGGCAAGCCAGGCGGACCTGGTAAAAAGCAATCAATACCACCAGCCTCCCAGCTGATCCTCAACTGATGGGGAGTGCAGCACCTGAGGAATGAGTTGTACAACTAAATATAGAAGATGGCAAGCACCCACCTGTAACGCCTCCATCCTGTCAGGATTCATCTTCAGTTTTTTTGTCACTTAACCGGCCTATTACTGACTCCTGTATTTACATAGCCTCACTTGAATCGGATGGCATAAAGAGACGGCACATTACACTTAATGTCAGCATACTGATGAAAGTTCAGTCCTGCATGCTTCCACCCCATAGTGTCATCCACTGGCTTCTTATGGATATCCAGTGCATGGGGTGGGGAATAAGACAGAGCCTCTTGGGACCTCAGCTGCTGTTCTCTAGCATGTTGCAAAGTGCTTTTCACTCAGACAATGTGATCCTTCCAAAATATTGTCTGGCTGTTCATTAACAAAGTTTAATGTGATGCAGTCTTGACTGGTGGAAACTCTGGATAGAGCAGGGGTCTCAAACTCGTGGCCCGCGGGCCCATTGCCGGGAGGGGCGGGGCCCGGGGGAGGGGCCCTGTGGCCTTCAAAGCGCTTCCGGGAGCCACGCGGGATGAGCGGCCCACCACCACTGCTTGATGCGGCCCAGCCTCACCCAGACTCTGCTTCCAGCGGCCCCCAGGTCAGTTGAGTTTGAGATCCCTGGTATAGATCCTTTGCTTTAAGATTTGGCCCTTGTAATTCTGAAGATATTGAAATATCGCTACATATGGTGTTTGACTACAATTTTTATCAGGAGCCAAGGCCAAAATGATCCTGCCATCTTACTTTGGTCACAATATAGCAGGGATAAGCAGCCTTTTGGGGCCTGCTATTCCACAGTCATTGTTGCTCATGTATTTTTAGGATTTACACTTTTCTTCACACCCCCTTTCAGGATTCTCACTTTTCTTGCTCACCTTTTCCTGGGATTCCCATTTTTTTAAAATTTCCCTGTCCCCACTTCCCTTTCTGCGTAGGGTTTCCTTTCTCACCCCAGTCATTTTTCCACAGTTTTCCCCACTGCTGTTTCTGACACTGCTTCTGCCATTCACCACAGTCACCTCCCCTGCAGGGAAGCAGGAAGCCCCCAGACTCATGACATCCTGTTTCCTTGCTGCTGCAGGTGAGTGGGTGCAGACAATCAGGGTCTGGTAGGCAGACCTCAGGGCCTGGTGTGTATCAGGCTGCCTGCAAGCCCTGATGTTTAGGAGCACTTCTGTATGGAGGTTGTTCATCCATCTCTCTTAAATGGCATCTTTGAAATAATCCACAACCCAGAACATGGTGATGGTTACCTTATCATGTGACAGGAATTTGGAATATTTTGAGATACTGAAAACTTAGGAGGAGCAAAACGTCTGTGCTGCCTGTAACACAGTAAATTTCAGGAGTGGAGTTGGCAAGGGAAGGATCCCTATCTTTGGTATTTTCTCTGTCTGCCCATGTCTTTTGTTGGCAAGAGAAGAGAATAGTTCAGCTGATGCGTTCATAATGTTAGCTTGGCAAGGGAGCGGGTGATGCTTGAGTCAAGTCAGCAAGGGGACCATGTATAGGACACTGATTTGGATATGTGCCTGCACAGTACTGTATGGTTCTCATGTTTAAAGCTCTTTAGGCCTCTGTCATCTGTAAAATAGCTGCTGTTCCTGTTTCAGTTCCTCTGTAAAAGCATAGCATGTACATAAAGAATGAGGTTAATCACAGTCAAAGCATTTTAGTGAATACAATGGCATGTTAAAAATAATAAATGGGTTGGCTCTTGCTCATTTTCTAACCGTT